AAGTCACTGTTTCTAACTTTGTGAAAATCACCATGAAACTACTCTGTATTCTAGATTTGTGTTCCATGGTGTACAGTTCTCTGATAGTCCATTTCTCTTGTAACATCCCTGGGTGTCTGTGATAGGATGGATCCCTGAGGACCAAATCTAACAGAGGCCACATCAAATTCAATGGAGTCACTCTCTACCTTGGTAAATTTCAAATAACTCAGATTTTATTCACTTCCTGCTTTGGGACGTCCCGGCAACTATTATATGGAATCCCTTTGGAAACTTTTCAGTTATTATAATACATACACAACTTTCTGTGAGGCATTAACCCCATACGAATAACCTCTTGATCAGCACATCCTCTTCCACTCCTGTGATGGCATCTGAAATACAAGCTCCACAGTTCCTCAAGGATCCCCAGTGGGATCAGGTAATAACTAGCTGGATAATATTCCTTTAGATTATTAGTTCTCCTTTCCTGATTCTTCTTTCCAGGCTCCCAGTTTTGTTCATTCATATCTATTTCCAAAATAAGCTACCTTCTATTGTCAGGTTTTGCTTCGGTGGGGGGGAAACAAGAAAAGAAAATTACATCCACAATTTACTATAAATTCACATTAACTTTGGTTATATACTGAGGCTAAGATTTAGGTGATTTGGCTACTAAGTGGATTATATTCACAGACTCAGATCTTTGGTCATTACTTCAGTTCACTTAGGGAATAAAGTTAGTAAGATAAATACTGAAAACAACAAGCCACCAGTGCCATAACAAACCTGATAAATTATCAACAAAAAGAGAGAGAGAACGGAGCAAAGGATTCCACAGACATTGAGAAGGGGAAGATGGAACTTCTCTTTTACATCTTAAATAGGAATGATTTTATGCTGTGGACAATTTGACTTCAATACCATTCTCTTACCATATACTTATCCTGTGATTTTATTACAACACATTCTAACCTCATATTGAAAGTTTCTGAGACAGATGGCCAAGGATTGCTCCAATGTACCCCCTGCTCATTTCACCTGACCAGAATCAACATCATTTTTGGTAGGTTTGAAAATCCCTACCAGACATTTTATGTCCCAAACAGACCCATGTTCCTTATAATGGTGTAATGTTTTTTTATATATTCAGTCTCATATTCGTCTGAGACTTTATCGTTACATTCTGTTCAGAATTGCTGTAATTTTCACCCTTTGGACTATGTGTATGTCTTCTCTATATATTTTGGCCCATTTCCCTGTGAAAAGATACCATGAGATTTGGAAGTGCTCTCTGTTGCATATTTGAATCCTCATGCCAGGCTCGTAGGAATTCCTGGTCACCACGCAGCACAAGTGTCTGGATTCTTTTTGTGTTTGCTGCTGTTACTAAGGAGTACATGCCTGTCTGGTTCTTGGATTATGCAGACTCTGCTATATTGAACATGTGCTAGAACCAATTTCAGGCACTGTTTAGTAACAGAGTGACAGTTATTTATTATCATTTTACTGTCTGCATTTCACTCCTCGCAGCTTTGGCTCAACATCATCTATTATTGTTGTGGCAAATGCCACTGGGCATTGTAAAGGTCTGTAGCTAACATAGAATGATTTAGCATCCACGGTCAATGAGAGTGAGATATTAAAAGAGCAATAGTGCATGGTTTATGAAGTGGCATTGGAACAGCGGTGGAAATTAGTGATTATCTTAATTATTAAACATGAATACTCACTGGACCAATACTGTGGTTATAGCCAATGATCAAATATTCTGCTGTTTATTGTAGATTCACAGAACACTCTTCACAGCTGATTTTGTTCATACTTTCAGCCAGTATAAAATAGGGC